AATACTCAGAGACAATAAAAGTCCTTGGACTATTAAATAAGTTTTATCGGTCGGTCGGAATAGTGTACAGAATACTAACTCAACAAAAAACAAAAAAACAAAAAAACACGAAAACACAAATAGAGAAACAATTTTTAAGTTAATTAATAATAAAGGGTGCACAAGCTACTATCGTTTAGTAGCTTTCGCTATATGAAAATTTTAAATTTTTTTTTTAGAAAAGCCAGAGATGAGGTCTTGATTTTACTATCAATAGAATTCCATATTTTAGGCCCTTGAAATCTAGTATTAAACATACCATAATTTGTTCTTAGTTTAGGAAGAGAATAAGATTGGTTAGATGATAACCTTGTATTATAATTATGTAATTGGTCAACAGGCACAAAAAAGAGGTTAAATGTAGAAGGCAGGAGAGAGTTGTGAAACTTAAACATAAGAACAGCAGTGCAAATATTGACTAGGCCAGATAATTATTAAGAGGCCACAATTGCTGCTTAATGGGTTAAAATCACTACAGATATGAAGTTGTGGTAAAATTAATATCCTGACTGTAAAAACCTTACTTAACTAACCTTTGACTGGACTTGCTTCATGTCGTTTTCACACTGAAATATGAGCAACAATGAAAAAGAAAAGGTATGTAATTTTAAAATTATTACAAAATATGATGTTGTGGTAAAATCAATATCGTAACTGGAAAAAACCCTTAACTTACCATTACCTGGACTTGCTTCATGTCGTTTTCACACTGAAATATGAGCAACAATGCAAAAGAAAAGGTATGTAATTTTAAAATTATTACAAAATATGAAGTTGTGGTAAAATCAATATCGTAACTGGAAAAAACCTTAACTTACCTTTACCTGGACTTGCTTCATGTCGTTTTCACACTGAAATATGGGCAACAATAAAAATAAAAGGTATGTAATTTTATGACAAATAAAAAGAAAAAACATGGTTGTGAATTTTCTTGTACAAAAAGCAGATCTTTTAGACATTTTTATTTATTGGAACTTTAGTACGTAAATGAGATTTATATATGCTTCATGTTGTGATATTTTAAATCGTTTTTACTGCTTTTTTGAGAACCAAACGTTGTTTAATTTCGTGCGACAAACTCAGTCATTGCTTGTCGAAAGAGTAATTAATGAAAATGTAATGTATAATAAAACAGTTGCAGTTTTTGTGATATATTCTGAATGATCAAGGTCTAGGTAAGTGTTATCAATCCCTTTTGAGATAACACTTATCTCAACCATGAAAAGTCTTGATATCATAAAATATTACAAGAGCAGTTTACTGAATACTGGTCTAAAATGCTGGGGCATAAGACGTCAGTTCCAAATTGCTGTTTCATTGTCAGGCAACTAACGGTTAAGATATTTTCGTTAGTAATTGCAGGGGCGGCGGAATTGGAGGAAGGGGGATATAGCCCGAAAAATAAAAGTGGGGGTGTGGGTCAAGTATTAAAGTTAATTTTCCAGGGGGGTTAAGCCACGGCTAAAATTGACTAAGTCGTATATGTCTTGGTTACAACGCGTGAGCTTTTTCAATCGTCAGTCCCCAGCACAAGTTTATCAGTTTCTTACTGTCACGTGTTTACCCTCAGTAAATAAAGCCTTTCACTTTCACCAAGTCATAGAAACTGACAACTAGGGATCCAAGGATAGTGTGAAGTTTCAAATTGAGAGAGACACTGCAAGAACTACATAGGGTCGCTGACAACCTAGAAAGGCTGATGGCTTACACTACGAAATAAACAGTTACCAAAGGCATTTCATCTCATTATCTATTTTATAATGCGTTCGGCACA